CGGAAGATAAATTATGCATTGTAGCTAATGCCTGCTGTGCTAATTTTTCCCTTAACATACTAGTTTCTTCAAGGTCAATAGCTGACCCTAAACTTTTAGCAATGGTATCTAATTCGCCCAATGTTGGTTGTCCATCATTCATTGGCCCAGTAACAATTATACATTCATTTTGCTCATTTTGTGCAGTATAAAGTTCAATCAATTGTGTTATGACATTTTGTTGTTCATAAAGAAAACTTTCCAATTTTTCTAATCTCTGCCACATTTTAATACATTCTTGATTTAATATGTCTAATATTCTCCAAGCACATTTTAATTCATGTTCAATATCATTCATCTTAGTAACAAGCCTTTCTATAATAACATAGTAAACACGCCCGTCACCTGTTATACCATATCCATGTATAATTGGAGATTGAGATCTAGAGCTATCCGAAATATGTTCAGTTAATTTTTCGGAATCCATGTTATATTTGTTTATTTATTTTCTATTTTCTCAGTGACAAATGTAAGTTTGCATTAAAACAACTTTCATTAAAAAATAATATTTGGATGAACTGTTTTATAACTATTATAAACAATTATTTATAATTAATATAAAAATTGTTTAAACTTCATGCTTAAAAAAAAGTAGAGCAATAACGTATTTAACAATCGCATTATAAAAGCATGTTTTTCTTTTTCTATTCATTATAAATACATCTATTATTGTAGGCAGTTTCATCATTCGTTACATAAAATATATTATTTTAAATATGTAGCAAATTCTTTTGAATATATCATATAATATATAAAATGGTATGCTTCAAATTGTCAGGTACAATATCGATGACATTCAATCTCTTACATAATAATTTTATTTAAGTAATAACAATAATTGCTATTTTATACTATTTTTTGCATCTGTAAAATAAGATTGAATTTATGATTCAATTATCAGATAAAATTGGATAATTTCCATTTCATTGAGATATAATTTGAAATTATTAAAATTTTTAATATTCTTAGTTATTATGATTTTAGCGGCGTAAAATAATTCTCAATAAATTTGTGGACACAAAATATACATTTGCATTATGATTTAATATTAAAATAATTCCATAATAAGATACGGATTATATAAGTATAATTTTAAGAGTTCTTAATTTGAATTCGAGTTGTTTAAAACATCAGAGTATTGTGAGTTCCTAACTTCACATAGTAATTCATCTTATTAGTTTTCATATGAGTATTGATACTAATGGCAACTACAAATATTTGCTTCTTCTACGAATCTGTTTATGAATCTTCTTATTTGATAATTTATTTGTGATTCTTTAGTCTTATTACAATATTTGTTGGATATTAATTATGATCTGGTAGGTTTACCAAATAAGTTTTCTCTATTATGAGCCATTTTGATAATCAACATTATGTACGATATGTTATAGAATTATCAAATTATTGTTTTTAATAAATATTTTTCAAATCTTCATAATATTAATACTATTTATTCAAGCAGTTAATAATAAGACCTCAGTTGTTGAATGGAAAATAAATTGGATTACCGTTACCTTATATGTTAAAATTGATTTTCATTCTGTTCTATAAAGGAATTACTCAACTTTGTGATAGTACATTAAAATATTAATTATAAATATTTTCAATATTGTATTATCATTATCTATAAATTGTAAAATATCCCTTTTATTATATTTCCTATTGATTTATAAATTATTATCATGAAATTTAAAAGTGATACATTTTTTTCATGCATTTAATATTTTTGCCTATCCCTTAAATTGTTATTATATATTATTATGTTCTAATAAGAAAAATTCTAATTTTTGAACGGCAAAGCTTATTATAATCAATAATTAATATTTAGATTTAAAAAAAAATATTATTTTGCATAAAACTGTAAAATAATTTCATTTCATTATAAACACCGCATACAATATTTATTCCTTAGTGCATTTGTCAAATAGTATTATTTTACAATATATTTAAATTGCCGTTTGTTTTCAATATTTTTTATAATTAAAATAATTTGATATTTAAAAATATAAAATATATTATATTTTTATTTATTAATTATTATAAAAATTTACACGTTTTTAAGTAAAAAATTATAAAATGCACAAAAATCTTTATTAATGTGATATCAAAATATTTATATTTTCTTGTAAAAATTATACCTTTTATTTGTTTTCAATGTTGAAATTTAATTTTTTTATAACTTTCTTTTGAGTACATATTATTATGCTTATATTATAATATTATTATTATTAAATTATAATATTATTATTAAAATACGAAGTATCAGTATTATAAAAAAATAATTTATAAAAACATTTAATTTATTTGAAACTAATTACCGAGATTGAGAAACAGCAAGACTTACGTGCTATTCAGGATTGACGCACCCCAACAATAAAGGATTTATTCCATGAACATTTAAGACATCACAATTCGCAATATGAGAAAAATTCGCTACAAAAATATTCGGTAAACGTTAAAGCCTTTGCTTAAGAAAGCCTTACAACTTATCCGCATAGCAACTAAGGAAAAATATCGAACCGGTAATTTGACAGAATTTCCGAGAATTGAAACTCTAGCGACACGCGAGAAAGCTTCGATATTTTAACACAAAAGATATTAGTGCTAGACTCTAAATCTCCACGATCGTATATAAAGAGCGGTGCAAGTCGAAGCAAATCAGTCTTGTTGAGTAAGTCAAAGTGAAATAGTGCAAGTCACACCAAGTTAAAGTTCTACACATCTGTCTACGGGAATCCGTGCAAGGTATACTTATTTGTCTACATTATTTATTATTCATTAGAAAATTGCGGCGGTATTATCGATCAGGCCTCTGCAACTTCATTCTTATCAGACCGCGGAAGAGGGCACCGATACTGATAGTCCCCACAAGTCATACAACGCCGATTCTCGCCCCTGTAAAGATCGCCGATGAGAGCGCACATGACCTCGCGACTCTTGCCTTGCACTCTCGGACGACAGTCGACAATTTTATTGCCAACTGTTAGAATCACGACAAACTCAATAATTCTCACAACGACCAGTAAAAACAACTAACAATGTAAAATAACCTTAAATAAAAATCACTAAAACCAATTGTGTTTATACTGAATTGATGCATTAAACTCTTATTCATCCCCCTCTTTTCCACCATTAAACCCATGGTACGGTCTAATCCAACGACCTTGGTCTTCTGACCATCCTAGTGGCTGGAATTCCAAACACGTACTTTATTATATTTAATAGTTAGATAATATTTAGATATATGGTATTTATATTATCTTTTTTACAAGTTCATTTTTTTTAAAGTTTATGAATTAGATATTACACGATTGTATCACTAATGCACTAAATATACGTATATAATACTTATATAAAATAACTCATATTAAAGTGTTAAACATAGATAATTAAAAATATTATTATAAGTAACTATGATGTTATTATAAAGATTAATTAAATAATTAATTTATACTAAATAATTTTACATTAATGTCGATTTCTATTACTATGCTCAAAAACCTTCGTGATCTTAATATTTGTTACACTTTCTAAAAATGGTTCTTTTTCGAATCTTCTTTATATTAGAGTAGTTATTAAGCTCTTTATTTATTTTTATATATTTCATTACAGAATTATTTATTTTTATATGGTATTTTTTTATGTAAATTGTTATAATTTGGATCCTATTGTAATAATTTTTTTGCAATTGCTATAATTTACATTTTTAGTGTATTTTATAAGTTTTCTATTATTTCGCTTTTAGCAATATAGATAGATGTGCCTTTAAATACCTTCTTTCAATTGATTTAGTTATTTAAGTAGAATTGCTGTAATAAAAATAATAATTAACTTTTTAAATAATAAAATTTAATACAATATTTTTATTGTAAACATAGTATATTATATTAATCTGACTCAACTAGTATTCACCTAAGCTGACAGATTAAAGCTTTACCAAAAAGTGAATAACTGGAAAATAAATTCTGTTTCCCCTTAGTTTTTAATAAATTATAATTGCAAAATTGTAATATAATGATTTCATTCTATTAAAGAAAGATTTAATTACTATTCTATTTGAAAGTTCATGATAAAAACATAAATTTAATTGTTAACTTCTTAATTCTTTAATATTGCTTGTGATTTATGAACGATAATTTATTAAAATCTTTATATTCCAAATAATGTCTATTAAATATTACTACATATTATTACACTTACTTCTATATTTGTAATTGATTTATTTCATACAGTAATTTTATTTTAATTTGTGACACGTCGATAAGAGTGTTACAAATTCGTAACTTAAGTGCTTGTTACTACATAAATGACTGCTAATAAAATTAAGAAAATCAATATTTATATTAAATATTACATTTTTATAACAGAGTTCGATTACTACATATTATTATAATGATATTATAATTGATTTAATATATGTACTTTAAATCTAGCCGATAAATAATATTTTTGTTATTGATAAGCAAGCATTGATATATGTAGAACACAAAAAAGTTTTAAATTAATAAAAAGTAATTAAATTATATTTTTAAGATTTATTTTTAAAGACAAGTATAATATTTATTTTGTAAATTATTATATTATCTTATTAATTTAAAAGTATATTTTATTGTAAAATGATTTTTGATGTTATATAATTTTTGTTATTCTATAATTTATTTAAAATTTTTTTAATCTAATATTTTCATAATATACATTTATATTTATGTATATATATATATATATATATATATATACTATTTATACTCTAAATTTTTCAATATATATTTGTTTAATCTTATTATCATTTAACTTTTTATGTAGTTATTTCATCACTGAGTCGATTAATTTAACTCTATAAACAATCAATAAACAAAGTAAATATATTATATGTAATTCAAAATTATTATTTTTATAAAAATGAAGAAAATACAATAAATGTGTTCTTTTCAGAAATTTATAACTTATAAAATTACCCTATTTATTACATAAAGCAATGTTAATTTAAAAATATATAAATAAAATGCAATTTGTTCGAAAATGTTTGATTTTCTTGATGGAACTGCCAATATTCGAAGTTCAATTAATTTGTTCAAGTTGTTCACGTAATTAGCCCGCCTAAGCGGATGCTTAAGTAAGGACTTAAGTGAAAGGACTGTAGAGACATACAGTGTGTGCAGACTTCGTTAAATATCGTTTATTATGATTATTGACAATCACATCTGATTATTAACAATAATCACAACGATGTAGTTGCTTCTTGTTGATGGTGACTGAATTGTTGCTGATCAGCAATGGATTATGCACACTCCTTTGAAAAGAGTATGGCTTATTTATGTAATAGTTACCCGCAATAGAGACTACTGATATACCTTTGTGATAAGGAATACTTCGATACCATGCTTCGTGTAGTCGAATATTTTCTTGTAATGCAGTCAGCAGCTTAAACTGTTTGTTAACTGATGCGCACTGGAGAATGACTTGTGTTCCTTCCGTAATGGCTTCACTGTGAGAG